ATATATATATATATATATATACACACACATATAATTTTGACGTTAATACCGGTCTAATAGTACACACAATTTAAGCAGTACACAAGATTTAAAGTCAAATAGGCTAGGTTGGAACACTTGTTCTGCCCCTTTACTAGCAGTGGGGCCTTGAGCAATTCAACACCTTGTTGCTCATCTGTGAGATGAAGTACCTACTCCTTTACTTCCAGTGCTGACAGTAATGATTCCACAACAGACTGTCTATGAAAGTGCTTTCCCACTTGCATCTCATTGAAGAAGCTCATTTGGTCACCTCGAGTGTTATTATCTTGCAGGCCACCTGCTCATGATTATGGGGTGCTCTCTCATCAGCAGACATGTTTGCTCTGAGCCATCCTTTTTTTTTTTAAGTATTTATTTGAAAATTTAGAAGACCTGACAATACAGGACCCACATACCTTCATGGTGCCAATCTGTTGTCTCACGGTGCATGTGTCTTCAAGGGTACTACCGCTGCTGCATGTTCTTGGTTTGTATTTATTCTCTGCCTCACCTCTACATCACATGAGTTTAGAACTACTGGCTTACTTCAATTTCCTCTTATGTCTAACTCTACTTTGTTAACTACCAACTCAGGGCACTTCATTCCAGTGTGGACAGCTCTGTTTGATGTAAATGTTTTCCATGTGTTGGAAACATCTGTCTGCTTATAGCTTCCACCCACGGGCTCTAGTCCAACCATCTGAAGCAATGCAGACCAAGCCTTCTCTGCGCCATGTGACAGCCCCTTACACACTTGAAGACAAGGGCCGTCTGTCTGCCACATAGAAGCTATAACCATAAACAGGTGTCACCGTTCCTCTTCTGAAAGCCCTTGTTTGATTAGATGTTTTCTTCAAACATATCCATCTGACTACATATTTCCTCATTAATTTGATTGTTGATTTATGGACTGAACTTGGGACATGCCTCAGTTTTCTACTTGAAAGAAGATGCACAAGAGTAAAAGACGATTCATTGCTTCCACAGATTTTACAAATAAATAAATCAGGCTTGCGAAGTAGTCTGTGGTGCTGTCAAAGATCTCTCCGCATTTGTTTTGGTACTAAAATTCCTCACATTTTCCTACTTTTGAAATGATGTTGATTCAAAAATCGGCTTATGAAATGAATTATGTATATATGTATATGTTTCCATAATAATGCTGCAGAAGAGCGTGCGATGGAATGTCAACTTTCCTCTCTTCCAGTCTTCCTCTCTAAAATGCAGAATGACTTTTAGAAGGACATCCCTCAGCAGCTAGTGGGGCTTTTGTCTCTGCACATGTGTGTGTGTGTCATGCACAGATCTGTGGATAGGTGGGAACTAGATGTGAGAGGCATGAGGAGCTTCAAAAGGTTTGTGAGAAAATGGAATGAGAGACGATGGAATTGGTGTGTGAACTTTTTGACACTGCTTTATCTGTTTCACAAATGGGATGATACCATGATAGTGTTCAACTAGCGTTATTTCACTTAAAAATTTACTCCTAAAAAAAAAAAAAAAAAATTTACTCCTGGGCAGTTTTTTCACATCAGGGATGCTGAGTGCCATGTTACCTAACATCTTTATGTTGAGTCATTTTATTCGAGTACTTTTCTTTTATTGGATCTTAAGATTGGAAGAGATCTTCACATTCACCTCTTCCATTAGTTGTTCCAACGAAGGTATGGTGTATTAGTCTTGGTACTTTGGAGAAACAAATCCACAGCAACTCATGTATAAAAGGGAGTTTTATGTATAGAAAATGTGCATCATGAAAACATCCCAACCCAATGCTGCCCAAGCCCACAAGTCCAACATTAACCCATTAACCTAACACCAGTCCACAAAGTCCTCCACCTCACAAAACAGTGGCAATGATGCCGACTGCAGGAGGAAAGCTGAGTCCGTGAACGTGTAAGCATCTCAGCACTAGCAGGGGTCTCCACATGGCTGCTCCAGCACCCAGGGCTGCATCGGGATAGGTCCATGCAGCTTCTCCTTGGGGATGTCTTGTAGGAAGTCAATCTTGCAAGCTGAAGCAGGGAACTGCTAAGGCAGCTGCATCCTGGTGCGACCATCACAAAGCAAGAGACCCGAGAACTAGAAAGGCGAGGCTCACCACCCATTTATCCCTCCGCCTTTCAACCAGCCCCACATGTGATTATCGGCCAGGCTGGCACAATTAACTAACTCATATGGTAAAGCTTTTTAGAGCTTTCCTAGCCAGGGATCAATCGTCTGAGTGAAAATCCTTCCAACTCCTTGGTGGGTGCTCTCTCCCGAGTCTGAAATTCCCCTCTGCGACAGCCTAGCATCTGCGGGAGTTTTTCCTGCACGATTAACGGCATGTGTCCCCTTTTATGTTGTGCATTGGTCCAGTGTGTCTTCTAGGGTGACTCTGAAATATCTTTTTGGCTAGTACTGCAATTTTTAATCTATGCTCTAAATATTTATTGTTCAATAAAGCTGAAGAATGTCAGTCTTTCTCAGTCTTTCTGGGGGGAAATGAGATCAGAAATGTTTCATCCATTTTGCATCCATCTTTAGTGTCAGGAATAAGACAGACATATTTGCTAAGATAATATTGTGCGATGTTTACTTAATGATGCCAAAACTTCTAGTCCTCTTCCTTGGGGAGCTAGTGTAAGAATTACTACTCTGGGCTATTCATCCCCAGAGTCTGTGTTTATATATCTATTTTATCTATCTATCCATCTGTTGATTTATTTGAATAATTTGAATGACATATATTTCATATCCCATACAATTCAAAGATTTAAATATAGGAAAAAGCGGTGTGCAAGCACCACTACAACCAATTTTAGAACATGTTCTTCATTCTTGTACTTATTATTGGCTCCCCGTTTCCCTCCAACCTACCTTCTCGTAATCCCAGACACTATAAATCTAGCTACCATCTCTCTATATTTACCTATCCCGGATTTCATATAAAGGAAATGATTCCAATAGATGACAACCACACAGACACAGAAAAACTTCAGAAGGAAGCAGAAATTAATAAAAACTAGAACAAATTAAAAATGGGTCAAAAGAGAAAAACAAATGATGAAGTCTTACATTTTCACCCGTTATCTACATTAATCCACTTTCTGGTCAATGGTCACAGGGAGTTCTCTGAAGGTTTAACCCACCTAGCCTCCCCACCTAGCATCGTTTCATCAAAACGTCCCTTAGCACAGTGTCTAGATTTCTCATCCCTCATCGACCAGGTTGACCTGATTCAGATGAACACTGGCCTGCCTGTGTTTCCATATCATCCTCAGACTGGAAAGAACTTTCCAGATTCAGTCTTGAGCAGGACAGAGAGTGGCCCAAATTATATTGGCATCCTGGGGGACCCAAAGTGGGAATGGGGAGAGCACTACTGGACAAGGATTGATGGTTAATCCATAAATAGCCAGTTTGGACATTGAATTTAGTTTATGTATGAAAGCAGCCAGAGGCTAAATCTGAAATAGGCTGTCAGGACTCCTGCCTTGAATCCACATGAACACCGCTCTGTGGCTGACAGTTTGATTGCATCGCCGTCCGCTGCTTAACCTGAATTGTGGCAAAAAGGCCCATCAAACCGTCCTTCAGCCTGAGGACAGAGGAAGGGGTGGAGCCACTCTCACAGTTGGTGACTGGCTGACAGCGGTCACTCAATTCTCAGGGCAGTTATCATCACCGTTGACGTCTGGCGGATTTAATACTCCACGATTTCCCGCAGATGGGCTGGCTAACTGACGCTTTTTCCTCTTGTTTGTAGAACCACTTCCCACTCAACCACCGACTTTCCCTCCAACGATTCCACCAGCAAAAGAAGGTAAAAGAATAAAGCAATAATGATGTGATTTTAGATTTAGGATTCCTATTGATTTGACCTGTTGTCTTTTTCATTTAAAACCCAATGCATTCATAGTAGATTTTTATTACATTACCTATTTGACCTCCTAAATAAGAACAATTCTCCAATATATGTACACAATGGGTGTATATATGGATTGTGATAAGAGCTGTAAGAGCCCCCAGTAAAATGACTTTTAAAAAAAGACAATATAGAGAATACAACATGGGGGTAGGGGGGAGAACGATTCTCAGATCCTGTTGTGATCTCTACAAGCAGTCATTTAGGAACAGCCTGTACATGAAAAAGAGATTTTCTAGAAAAACTGAATAATTTGGGCTTCATTGGCAACATCTGAGAAGTCAATGTTCACCAAAGAAGAATAGTAAGCTCATTTGTGAAACAGTTTATAGTTCATAGTTCTATAGATAAGGGTTCTGATTTCCTACTTGGCTTCTGAAATGTGTCTTGCAGTCTCTGTGTTGACTACAACTGTCCCTCGCACCATGTGTCTGAGAAATTACGGTAACCTTCTATCAAACCTCCTAACATAGGGTTGATAATTTTTTTCATCCTACTAATGAGCATGACTCGAGGCAATCTATGTTTGAGAAAAGAAGTCTTGGTGGAGTCTGCAGGGTGCATTAGAGGGAGGAAAAGACAAATGTATACAGGTAGGACGAGCACTTGGCAGGTGTGCAAGGGGGCATGAACTCTGCTAAGGTCCAGCATCCTTCCTCTCCTAGCACGCAGTCTTTGTAGCATCACTTCCCAGACTGTCTTGCTTTACTGCAAAGTGGTACAGTTCACAGTTGCCCAGGCATGTCTTAGGTTGCCCTGCATTTTTTATTGCTATTTCCTCTACCTGGAAGGCCAAACTCTTTCTTCTTTCATGAATTGATATGATCTTTAATTTCAGTATCGGGGGTTAATTTTGTTAGGGATAGAGCTGAAAGCAGACTCCTAATGGATGTATTTATAGATTAGGTTTTCTGATGTTGAGATTACAGGCATTTTAATATCAGAATATTTTTATTGACAAATGAGCATAGTTCAATCAACAATCATCCGTGAAAACTCTGAGAAGACTTAGAGAATGTGGGAGGCTGGGTGGCAGTAAGGCGTGACAAAGTGGAAGCCGGGTCTTGGAGGTCAGCAGCGTGGTGGTCTTAGGCAGGGCAATTTTCCCAGCTTGGATACCTTCTAATTGCCATGAGGGTATAGAATAGTATTAAATATGTGATTAAGGGAATACTGAATACTTTTTACATAAGCACTAAAGAATCAAGGAAAGTGCAGTGCAAAGGAGAAAAGTAACAAACGGATAATTTCATGTCCCATGGGTAATTCCTCTATGTATCTCCATGTATTTTCTTCTTTCCTTTTGATTATGAAGTATATCTATATTTTAAATTCGACTTTATCTTTAAATTCATTTTGCTTTCACCAAGATGATGAAACCCAATGGAGAAATCATTTTCCCCAGGAAACAAAGGACCAGCTTCGCATTTAGAAGCTAAGGGTTGGTGGATTTTTTTAAGAAATCTTGTTATTGGGGGCTTGTACAACTCTTAGGCAGATCTAGTGTTCGCTTTCAGCTTTAAATTTAGACCGTAAATGTGTAAACTCTTGAATCTTGAGGCTCATGAGAGCAACTTTATCAGATCCTTGCCTCTAGAGTACGAGCTCCCTTGGAGATGGCTTGTTTTCGTTCATAAATAGCTTGAAGGGAATGAAAGTGAACTTAATAAAATAAAAAACCAAGTTGAGCTCTACTTGGTTTTTTGTCTTTTTTTTTTTTTTTAAAGAAAGGGAAAAGGCACATTATCTCATAGAATATTTTTGTTCAACTGGCAGAAGATGAAACAATTTAGATTACTGAAGAATAAATTGTTTGCTTTGTTGTAAAATAAAGTTATCCGCAATGAGCTACATGAATGAAAGGGCAAGGCAGCATAGATAATATGAAACCGGACAAGATACCAAGAAATAAATAAGACTTAGAAAAGAACGTTTAGTGGAGTAGGTTTTTGGTTGGTGTCGTTTTTTGCTTCTTTTTGTGTTGATACCAATCATATCTATTTATGATAACCTTTTTGAGTTAACGTTAGTGTATATTTCTTGGCTACATATCGATGGGTGATGGGAAAACAGAGGCAGAATTAATGGGCATTGCTGGACTTAAATATTGCTTATGGCTTCAGCCCCAATGCATACCAAGGTATACATTAATACGTTTCCCTTGGGTCATATGGCTTTCTTCTGAACTTGAATTCTTTCAACTTAATTTTCTAACTCAATAAGCAGAGGATAGGGTGCAGAGTGCGATAGCTTGATCTTCCGTGTAGTCGGTAGAGAATGTCCTAATTGGACTAGAGAGGGCCTACTGATGCCTCTGTCTCAAAATTCCGTTAACTCCATGCTCTCCTCTCCTTTCCCCCATTTTTGTTCTTTGGGATTGAGATTCACACTTTTCTGTGTTTCTTTCTGAATCATAAATAGTAACCTTGGGTTTAGGAGAGAAATGATGACCAGGAAGCATCATGAACAAAACCTTAGAATACAAACCTAAGCATATTTACTCCTTCTTTTGGGAAAAAAGCTTTTCCATACCAGAGGGAAACCACTACCAGTGGTAATTTTTTGGCTTGGTAACTGCTACATTACCTCCCCATCTTTGATTCTTAATTGATTCTCAATCCTCAGTATGTAAAGCAGCCAAGGCAGACCTGGTGTTTATGGTGGATGGATCCTGGAGCATCGGAGACGATAATTTCAATAAGATCACAGACTTTCTGTATAGTACTGTTGGAGCGCTGGACAAAATTGGTGCCGATGGAACTCAAGTAAGGCGAATAGATTCACTCCTTCATTTTGTGCGTGTGAACATTATTTTGTACTCATGAAATTAATTCCTAAACGTCTTAAGCCTGTAGTCTGACTACTTGTTGGAGATAGAAGTGAAGAATTTTGACAACTTCAACCCCAAATGAGGGGATAGATCAGTCTGGGTTTGTTAGCAGATTTGGGGTGCCTGGTAGAGTTTGATCAATAACAGCTCACTGCCATCGAGTTGATTCCAACTCATGGTGACCCTAGAGGACAGGGTAGAACTGCCTGTGTAGGTTTCTAAGACTAACTCTTGACAGGAGTAGAAAGCCTTGTCTTTGTCCCAGTAGAGCTTGAGAAGATGTTGACTCTTAAGAGCTGTCAAATTCAGCAACCTAATGACCGTGTCATGGTATGTTTCTTTTATATTGCCAATAAGAGTGTATTTTTAAAGAATACACACAACGACTTTTCTGCCTTTAAGGACATCAAAATCTTAAAAGGGAGTGAGGTCATGGTCACAGCATAGGAACCTAATTTACGCAGCATATGTTTGTATAACATCTACTATGACCAGACCCCATACTGGGCAGAGGAGACATAGCCACGAAGATGTCCAAGAATATCCTTGGCCTTCCAGTGACCAGCCTGGTGATAGGGGGTGGGTTTCTCAATTTTGTGTGCTTTATGGGTAAACGACTAGTAATCACTTCACAGATTAGATTCATTAAAATATCCTTGTACAATGTCTAACATTTAATAAACTAACAACCACCACCACCACCACCCCCAAAACCCCAGAAGTCATAGGTAACCAATTAATGGAAGCTGCTATTATTATTTCATTGGTTGGCCTCTTGATCATGAAAATATTTAAAAATGATTCTGGATTCTTTCGTGGCCAATTATGACTGATGGAAAATGATTCATTGGAAAGTCTTGTGGTGTTGTTATGATGATTTAGTGTTGTGAAAACAAAGCCTAACCAATGAATTTTGAAGATTTTAATACAGGCAGGCTAACTAATTACTTCCATAATACATCTGTTTTCCAACAATATTTTGAGTGAAGTCCAATTGTGAGTCTCTGGACACAGTCAAGTTATAAGGATTAGCTTCCCCCCTTTTTTTCTTCTGTCCACTAAGATGGCAAAAGTCTCAGGGAGATTTCATCATAAACCCTTTCCTGAATGTAGAGAAACAATAGTTATAATTTGTATGCAAATTTGAGATGTAACCTGTGTGACCTTTGAAACCGAGGTGATTATACCCTGGGTAGAGTAAGCCATGACGGTGGTGGTGATAGCCTGCTACCATGTCGTGCTCTGTGGCCCTGTGACAGACTACACATGTGTCAAAGCTAACACGCCCTCCTTCTGCAGGTGGCAATGGTTCAGTTTACTGATGATCCCCGGACAGAATTTAAGCTAGACGCTTACAAAACCAAAGAATCTCTTCTGGATGCAATTAAACATGTTTCATACAAGGGCGGGAATACCAAAACAGGTAAGACCACTGCCAAACAAGACAAGAAACCCAAACCCAGATAAGTCCCAATGTCATTCATTATTAGTAACTACCTAAATGTGGTTTTAAAAGGTATTTAAAATTTTTCAATTTTCCCACTGATGTTAGAATCTTGTTCCTGCCCTCCCCTCCCTGGCACAGGCAAAAGGAGAGGGAGTGAAATCACACTGTTCACTGTGGACCTTTTTGTTCCAGGAAAAGCCATTAAGCACGTTCGAGATACTTTATTTACTGCTGAATCGGGCACCAGGAGAGGTATTCCAAAGGTGATCGTGGTCATCACTGATGGGAGGTCCCAGGATGATGTGAACAAAATCTCCAGGGAGATGCAATCAGATGGTAAGGGCTCCTCTAGGCAGCAATAG